AGATTGCCACGCTGCCCATTATGATGTGATTCTGACACGTGCTGCTTGGTTTGGTCTTTGGCATTTTGCTTTCCAGGAAATGCTCTCCAAGATGCACGGCCAGCATTACGGCTCACATGACAAGGCTACTTCTGACAACTCCCCCTGACGAAGAGCAACTGCTGATTACTTCATTTGTACATTGCAAGACCGCAGAAAGGGTTGGCGTACATCACCGGGACTGATGATCGGAGTAGAGCTGGGGGAATTGACAGGTTGTGTTATGGGTGTCTGATGTGGCGGGAACGGTCGGTGAGGTCGAGATCTGCAAATTGCGGGAAACGAAGCTCGCAGTCCACGTGGCAAAAGGAGAAGAAGGTGAGCTGAGTGAAAGGTAGGTGTGATTGAGTGAGAGTGGGGTTGGTCGTCAATCAAAAGAGGTGAACGGATTTGCACTATGGAGGCTGAGGGGGGACGTGGCGTCGATCCTCCGCCTGAGAATTTTGCGAACGATATCTGTGAGAGTGTAGGCGGCGGCGGCGGCGGCGGCGGTGGGGCGGAAACACGTCCGGTTGTGGACAAGAACGCCAGCAGTGGTTCTCGTAAATCTGCTGCTGGGGGCGATCATCGGGATCTGCTGAAGGAAAAACGGGAGGCTAGGAGGCAGAAAATTCTCTCGAATGGGAGTTCGCGCTTGGCGTACATCACCGGGACGTCAACGTCACCGCCATCGCCAGACATGCCGCCATCCGATTTCTTTTCTCCTCCTCCTCCTCCTCCTCCTCCTCCTCGTCGTCGTGATGTCAGTAGCAATACCAGCGAGTCGCCTCCATCGACGCGCGGGGTTGACCCTACTCCTTCCGCTGCTGCTGCTATCGTTGAGGGAGGAGAGGCGCGATCACAGGGTGGGAATGGTGAGTCGCTCATCGAAGGTGTAGTTGGTCGGGACCAAGGGGGGGCTGTTAGCAGCGGGGGAACAGCGAGGAGGCGGAGGGGCATACCAGCCGAGAAGAAGATGACGACGACGATGACGGGCGGGCAGGATGATTCTCATCAAAGGAGGTCGGCTATGGCGGTGGATGGAACGACCGACGGAGAATTCAGAGGTGGTGCTTTTTCGGCCATGACGGCGCGCCCTTCGTCCTCACCGAATGCATTCCTTGTCTTCGCTAAGGCTGTTGACAGTTGCCTCGATGCGACTAGAGGATTTCGTGCATTTGTTGCGTTCACCATCGCCAGTTACGTAGTAGCTCTTGTGTATTTCATCCCTTGCAGATACAGAGGAGAGAGTTACCTACGGGATATTGTGCCCTTCCATCCCATCCACTTGGTTTGGGCCATGGAGGTGGGTGTTTTCACATGCGCATTGAGTTATCATTTCCTTCTGGGCAGCGGAGTGAAGAAGCCGAAGCAGGGTGACGATGGCGATGGCGATGGAGTCGTCGATGCTGCGGCGGCGATGCATGACGGGAAGAGGACGAAGACGAAGAAGACGACGGCGATGGCGGCGGAGTTGGCGTTATTAGGAGATTTCGATCGTGGTGTGGGGGAAGGAGGAGGAGGAGGAGGAGGAGGGGGTTCAATGGGTAGGGATGGAGGATCAGCGAGCGATCCTTTGGAATCGCTTCTCTCTCAGATCATGGCGGCCGCTGATCAGGTCGGAGGGACGATGGAGATTATCAACACGCTGAGAAAGCTGGTTAAATCCGTTGTGCTTGACTCTAGCGTTTTTTTGGTGGTGATGTTGAGTGGCTTATCTGTCGGTGATTACTACAACCTTCCTTTTTGTTGGATGGATTGAGAGAGAGAGAGAGAGAGAGAGAGAGAGAGAGAGAGAGAGAATTCGAATGTACACGTGCAAGTAGCGGTCGACTTACGGGGGCTTCCACAGACACAGAGAGAGAGAGAGAGAGAGAATTCGAACGTACACGTGCTAGTAGCGGTCGACTTACGGGGGGTTCCTATTCGTCGACCCTTTTTTTGTTCTTTTTTTTAAAACCGTGATTGTTGATCTTTTCTTAGGTCAGCTAGTACAGCTTCTCCTTGTGCTGCGTTTTTTCTCTGCGTCTTTGCTGCCAGTGATCACATTCTTCTTCTTTTTTTTCTTTTTGTCTGTTAATCCCTTTGTTGTTTACCCCACCGCACTGCTTGCTTCGCTCTGCCCTGAACGTCTTCTGAACAATCAATCTTTCGTTTCCATCTTTGAAAAAGCCCTTTTGCCCTAAACCCTATCTTTCGAATCTCCCGGGATCATTCTGCGTCAACTGCCCCCGTACTCTTCCTTAGGACTTGCAGATGAGACTTGTCTTCACGTTCCCCCACTCCGTCTCTCCATCCTCTCTCTCCTTCCGGAATATCGCTGCTCTCTCTCTCCTTACCTTGCTCGATCGTCTTTGCGCGGGGCGTCGATTACGTAATCACGATCGCCACGAAGACCATTTCCTTAGTCTTTGGTGCTCTCCTTCTCTTCCCGTTCTCCTTTCCCCCACTTTATCACTATGTTTCCTTTTCTTCTCCCCCCCCTTCTCCCTTCTCTCACTCTCTCGTCTTTCCATTCCCTCTTCTTTTTTTTTTCTTTTTTTTTTTCCCTCTTTTAGATCCCAGAAACCCTAGAACGAAGAGAGGTTAAAGAGAAAACTTGAGGCCAAGCTCGCCGTGTCTTGTCCTCTTCTGGACTCTCTATATTACTTAATCTCCCCTCTCCGCCCCTATGCACTCCTCTCTCGTACGTATTATGTCCTCTACCTATTCTTCCCTCTTCTGCACCCTCTCTATTACCTAATCTCCCCTCTCCGCACCTATGCCCTCCTCCTCTCTTGTACGTAGTCTCTCTCTCTCTCTCTCTCTCTCTCTCTCTCTCTCTCTCTCTCTTACCTATTCGCTCCATTGTGGAACTCCGTCTTCGGAGACTCACAACGAGTGCTCCTCTCGTCAAACGTCCTCTCTTCCGTTGTCTTGTCTCTTCCCGCACCTTGCGGCAGCTTGGGCCTTGCCACACCACTCTCGAAATGTGAGAAAGGCAAATTTGTGGCGGCTGCATCTGGTCATGTCTAGTGGGAAGTTCATTCTCATTTTGCACATTTCCAGAGAGGTGTGGCGTTGCCCCTTGTTACATGTGCTCTTGSTCTTTCTGCCCGTGCTCTCCCTTGCTGCTTTCCCCATGTGACGCTTCGCGTCTCACTCTGGCACCTCCTCTCCTCTCGATCGTCCCCTTTTTGTCACGGGGTTCACTTCATTACTGTTTCATCTCTTCCTGTTCATCGCCGCTGCCGAAGTTGACACCCTTTTTCATCGACCGTGCCAAAGTTAACACCCTCTTTCCCCCCCCGCACAGAAAACGAACAAACCTCCCCGTTACCCCCACCCCCTCCCCTTTTCGAAGTCATTTCCGGCCTTTTGGTCCTCCATTTCTTTTCTCGACTTATGCGTGTCATCCTTGAAAGCGCAGGGGCCATGCTGATCTTCTTTCTCTRTATCGTTCCGATTTCAACAGAATGTTCCGAAGGACTSGGCCGTCCATTTCGTCTTCTAGCCCAATTCGTTTCCCTATCCCTCCTATTCCGGCCGAATACACTTTCGCTTTTCTCCTTTCCACCCCCATGCACTTTCGCATCCTCTCCCTTCCCCCCCCTAACCCCACCCCTTTCTTTCCCTCCCCCCCTGGGAATCCTTCACAGCTGTCTTGCTTTGACCCAATTCATACTTGCAGCTCCACATTGGCTGAGAAGCTCTTCTCTCCCAATCTCATGACTCATTTCTTTTCATTCGTAATCTCCCATCTCCCCACGCAATTCATTCGCTCACGTATCTTACCTTTTTTTGCGTGCGGGCGATTCATTGATCGAAGTTTTCTCTCATTAGCACCGTCCATTCCACGATTCTTCCTCAAACTTTCTTGGTCTATTATATGGTCTGTTTGTTTTGTTTTCCCCTTTTTCGTGCTATTTTTGGAAGTGCAGTTCCCTGCGCCTTGCCCCCCTTCCTCCCGTCCCCTCCACCCCCCTTCTCCTCGTCCCCTCCACCTCCCTTCTCCTCGTCCCATTCACCCCCCTCATCCCTCCCTCGCCTCGCTCCTCTCTCTCCCCAATGGGCAATCTGTTTGCATCATGTTTGTGGGATGTCGTTGAATCCCTACGGTCCATCTCTCTCTCGGTGTGCATGCTGCCTGGGGCCTCCTTTACCTGCATATGCAGCGTAGGGGTTGTCCTCTATGTCGTCGTGCATCACACCCTCTCACTGGATGTTAGAAGAGCGTTATGGTAGTTGTGTGCAGTATCGTGCGGCATRGTAGTCGTCAATGTGGGACATGGTGCGGCGGGGTGGTCATCYGTGTCTGGCAGCCTCCTGGATATTAAAAGCGTTATGGTAGTTGTGTGCGGCATCGTGCAGTGTCTGGCAKCCTCCTGGATATTAAAAGCGTTATGGTAGTTGTGTGTGGCATCGTGCAGTGTAGTRGTCGTCAGTGTGCGACATCGTGCGGCGGGGAAGTCGGGCGACATCCTGCGGCGGGGTAGTCATCCGTGTGGCGGCATCGTACAGTGGGGGTACTCGGGCGACATCCTGCGGCGGGGTAATTGTCCGTGTGGCGGCATCGTACAGTGGGGGTACTCGTCCGTGTGCGGCATCCCGCAGCAGGGGTACTTGTCGCATGTGCTGCATCGTGCGGCGGTGTAGTCGTTGGCATCCTACGGCGGGGGCACTCGGCCGGTGTGCAACATCGTGCGACGAGGTAGTTGGGCGACATCCTGTGGCGGGGTACTCCTCCGTGTGTAGCATCCTACGGCGGGGCAGTTGTCCATGTGCTGCATAGTGCGGCGGTGTAGTCATCGGTGTGTAGCATCCTACGGCGGGTGTACTCGGTCAGTGTGCGACATCGTGCGGCGAGGTAGTCAGGTGACATCCCACGGCAGGGGTACTCGGCCGGTGTGCGACATCCCGCCATGAGATGTGGAGAAATTGAAAATGAGGTGGGAGTGTTACTTTTAGGTCTCTTTTTTTTTGGGTATCCGGAATTGGTTTTTCCATAACAATTCATTAGAGGAAGGGGATTTTTTTGATATTGTTGAGAATCCCCCGCCGCTCTTGTACATAATACAAAGGGCGAGTTAAATAACGTAGTGGGCCCTGCTCCACTACTCACCAAATGCCCAAAGTGGGAATGGATCTTCCCCTAGAACATGGGAATGTGCACCGCCATCATTTTGTCTTTTGTGCAGGTAGAGAGTAGTGGAGCGAGGCCTAACACTGGCATGATCAATCAGTCATCATCTGTTTTCCTAAAGTGGAAAAGGCCAAGACAGATTGTAATTTGCCTTTGTGGATCAAGAAATTTGTCAAAGTGTTCCTGACGAGTTTTCTCCAGTTTTTCTTTCGGTCTTTTTTTCTCCCTCTTTTGCGTGATTAACGAAGGCCTTCATGTCAACGATACGAGCAGGGTTACCTGACCAAACGTTCGGGGGCCCTGGGACTGGCCCCCAAACGTTTGGGCGTTCGGGGGCCGAACACCTCAAGGTTCGGCCCCCGCCAAAAAAAAATTCGGGGCCTAAAAATAAGGTTTTTTTTCCTGTTTTTTTTTTTGAGTTCTCTATGATGTAACCTACACCCCTATAAATTTTGAAGCCATTCTGCTAACTCAAAAAAACATTTAAAATCGTCAAAGATGGGGGTGTCAAAACGTGCTCGCCGACTCACTATTTTGTTTTTTTTTCACTTTTAACTTTTTGTTTTCACTTTATTTCGGGGCCTAAAAAAATTTATTATTTTTTGAAAAAAAATTAATGAGTTATTGATTATGGAAACTACATATCTGTAAATTTTCAGGGCATTTGTCAATGCCAAAAAATAATTAAAAATTGGCAAAGATGGCGGTGTCGAAAAGGTGCTGGCACACTCACTCATTTTAATTCTCTTTTTATTTTTTCTTATTTTTTCTAAATTTATCATAGTGTTTATTTTCTGTATTTGATTTTTAATTCAAATTTGGTAAAGAATCTGGATACAGTGCCCAGGCATCTCCATAACATTTTTTTTCTTCGGAATTTTTGAAAACTTTTTTTTTTTCTTTTTTTTTTTGTCCGCGTTCGGCCCGAACGGCCGAACGCCTTCCGAAGGGCTCCCGTACGTTCGGGCGTTCGGGTTCCGGGCGTTCGGCCCGTCCCGAACGCCGGCAACCCTGGATACGAKTATATAGTAAGTTCAGTGACGTCTTTCTAAAGTCTCTCTGTCGAGGCCCCCCACTTAACCCAGATTCTTTGCCTTCRCCGTTGATCTCCGTAATCGACGGCCAGAAACAAAATTMTTTTGGGCCAAGGTGAAGCCCGRCTTTCCAACCCCAACCTGCCCCCCTACCTGCCGCCCCCGCCCTCCCTGCTGCTCCCCCCCTCCCTCTCCCGTCCTGGTGTGTGTCTGGCGTACTGTGTGACGCTAGTACGGGTATGTATCGTGTATAATGTATCTGGGAGCTTTTTTTTTTTTTTTTGGGTGACGGGTCTGTTATCCCCCTGATGGGGTTTGCCCGCTGCATTGCTATCGCGTTTTGTCCATTAATTTCTTTTTTTCTTTTCTTTTTTTGCACTAAAGGCAAATGCCCTTTGAGGTATCAATCATCGTCATTAACCTGACCGGCCTCACATAGATTCACAGTTTTCATCATAGGTCTGCAGGGTTCGATCTCAGGTCTGCTTATCAACGGTTCATGGGTGTACCGGTCAGCCACACGGGCTGCGGCGTCTATTGGGGGGTTCCCAATAGATTAACGGGGGGGGGTCCAATTGATTATGGGTTTCTGAATCGTTTTTCTGAACTTTTCTCGCAATTAATGGGTTTTCCCACTGGTTTTTTTTTTTTTTTTTTTAATTGAATTCGGAGAAGTTGATTACTGTTACATAATATGGTAATCATAATTTGTTGATTTTCCTCCTGACACAGGCAGAAATATGTCACTGGAGTTGCAGCGGGGGCCAGTGGCATATACACACAATGCAGGGCCGATACATCACGAAGTGGCCACAGGCCTAGGCAAAAGCTGCMCTGTCSATGTACACACCCAGGGTCCTGTGCAAATGCAGCAAACGGCCCAAGTCTGGAGACTCAGGCCGTGTCCAACTGTAAAGGGCCCAGGCCCTCAACTGTAGCACTGGGCCTGGGCGCAGGCACTGGGACCCAACCGGAAGCTACTGGAAGCTTCCAGCCAGGCCACATGCAGCCAAGCAGAGGCTGCCACTTCCATATAGGAACGAAGGCAGCCAGGGTCTGGAGGCTGGCCCACACAGGCAATGTGGTCACGCTGCTGCACTGCTGCGTCAGAGGCTGCGTACTGCGTTGTGGTCAGGGAGCTTGCGGGGCGCACAAGAGGTGAGAGGGGCGCTGCTGTGCAGCAGAGCGCTAGCAGCCACAGCCGGGCTGCAGGGCGCTAGGGGGTAAGAGGGCGATCGGTGGTCTTCAGGAAGGAGGCGAGTGTGGGTGGATGGTCTGATGAGGGGGAGACGAGATACGTACCTGGTACATTAGAGAGGTCGGCTATGGTGTAGACGTCATGTACGTTGGTCTTCGAGAGTTGAAATAAGCCTGTTGCGAGAATGCTGATGTAGGTAGGATAGTCGAGTAGTGTAGGCTGGGTGCTGGGCGCCAGACACAGAGGAGCGACTTTGGATACTGTGTTGGTGTGGCCTGAGGGCTTGAACATTGGCTCATTACTTCATTGTATTGCTCTTATTTGGACGGAATCTCGGTGCATTTATGCTCTCTGCTTGTACACGACTACTTGGACATCTGTSTGATTTAGCAACTTGGCCTTCTGTATATCGTTCCCACACATATTCCKTGCATTTATTGTTCCAATTTTGTCGGATGTCCTGAAGGACTGGATAAGAATTTCGATGTGACCTCGAGGCAAAAGTTCTTCAGTTTATTTTTCTGCATAACATAGGTTTTTCTTCAGACCTTACACTTTTTTTTCTTTTGTATTTTGCTGGGACCATCTTCGGCCCTTGGACGGCCAGGCCGCCCTGGCAAAAAACAAGGTCACCCGGGCGGCCCGGCCTGTAGCCCAGCATTTTGGAAACAGAAAGACATTTCCTTTCTGCCGGCCGTTTGGTCCAAACAATTTTGTTCATCTGCTTACAGCTGTYTGGATTTGGACTTGTGTCTCTATTTCAAGAGTTCCTAGGTTCAGCTCCAGATTCCAATTTTCTCTAAACCTTTGATTCATTTGTTGGCTGCAGTTGAGGACGGGATTGGTCGGGAGTGCATTTCCCAGCCCTGTATGGCTGCGGCTTATATGTAAGGGACGCCGGACCCATTTTCCGGCATATAATGCAATGGTT